AAAGTTCCCATGATCAGCCGGCCGGTGTCTCCGGCGGTTATTCAAAGGGAATGTTGGCAGATAGGTATGTGAAGTGATTGACCGTCCCCCCTCCAGGTGGCACTTTCTGTAATTTTGGGCACTCTTTTTGGGTTTGCTTCTTAAGTTCAAGCATTACTCTGTGGGCAACTGTTCGCTGACTTCGCTTAACGCCGCTGAATTTATTTTAGCACTTATTTCATAATTTATTTTTGATACTGTTCTAATTTCTGTGAATGCTGCAACCTGTATTTTGACTGCTTTCAGATTTTCTGGCGAAACTATCGTTATTTCGCAACCGAGTACAGGCAAAAGTGTTAAGGTGTTTCCCAGCAGGGAGTTACAGCTGGTGACCGTGTCAAATTTGACCGTCAAGGATTCAGTTCAACACTGCTTGTTGCGTACGATTAACGTTGTCATGATGCTCAGAGAATCGATCAACGCTCCAAGTTCGTCGTTGCCAGTAGCTGATGCTTCCGCCCTTGAATCTGAAGCTGCGTTGCCAGATATCACATCTACCCATTCCGCTACTGGTACGATCGGTTTTTTTATATTACCCTGCATTGCTGACCTCGCTTTCTGAGTAGGTACCGTTGAGACGACCGCTGCAGCCGAAGGCGGCGACGCTGTACAACCCTCGGCCAGTGATACGCAGCAGCCCGCCGAGTCGACTTCGTGCAACCTCGCTCCAGACACGGAACCCCCTGTGGTACAGAAAGAGTCTTCGGAAGACAAAGCCAATGGTAAGTTGCAGACATCACCTGCTTGTCGCGTTAGTTACTGTTCTAAAATCTTGTTCTTTGTCATGTTGTAATACGGCGTCGTACGGTTATTAGATACGGGACAAGTCATTGTTTTATCAAGGGTATTAAACCGGCACCAATTGTTTTTCTTCGGTTTGGCGTTTATTAGATACTCTGGATCATAACTGATCAGTCGTTCATCTCTCATATACGATTTGTCAACCATGTATCGAATGCCACAAGCCGTGCTCTTTGCAACATCACTTGCTCTGTGCGGTCCTGGTAGAACGGCTATCCCGTTGACTTGGACATGTGTTGAGACTTCCACCAGATGATGTCACGTCCATTACAATGAATCCATCTCTCCGGTCCTTGGATGGCACTGGAGTAGAGACCGATAAATTAAAACCTTCCGGGACCCTGTCACATCTTTCGTCGAAGTGTTTTTTGGGTCAGTAGTGTAGGGTTACTAACGGTTCAAGAAACGCTAGCTGAACTTCTTGACAGTCATTACCTGTGATCGACAGATGTGTAATGCAGTGATCCGGGTTGTCTTGGAGCTGGATAATTCAGTACTGGTGACACCTGTAATAACGATCACAAACCAGCCATAATTGATCGTTCAGATATTTTTTAAATACATTGTTGCAATGCCCCAACCAAAAGAAATGACAAAATTTTAATGTATTCGATCTGTTCGCCTGTTGTAGCCATTTCATTGCTTCTATCGATTAATTAATCGTGATAGCAAAATTCTAACGAAGTATGTCGACCGTCTGTAAAAATTTCTTTTTTCATTTTTTCTCATTTTGACATTCTAACCATTTACCAGATAAGCATAAAAAAGGTTTGCGAATTTGGAAGGTGTCAGTTCTTTCCCTGCTTGAATAAGACGGTTGAGTGATGTCCTGTTTTCGATCCACAGTTCAGACCAACGAAAAACTACAAGTCTGTAAATTATTTTACTTGCCTACGTATTTTGATGCCGCATCAGCGTTATTATTAAATTATTAGTTTATCGTTTTGGTAATTGGAACTATAAGTTGGCTCATTGCTTGAGCCGCAATACTTTGTTTTAAAAATGCTTGAAATGTCACCTGGAAGGTCTGTGAGTTACAAACTGAAAAATTTGTAGCCAGTTAAGACCTAGTGATTAAACAATATAGAACAATCCGTTTGGTTGTTATACTTCAGTCGCTATTAATACGAATTTCAGGAGGTGTTTAGAGAAATGGGCTTAATGTTTTATTGAGTATTTCAGCATAAAACACAATATGTTTAGACGGAAGGTACAAATGTTGTCAGTTGGATGGCTGATTTCTCTGGTATCTAGATTTTGCGTTGTGTATAAATAATGCTGTTTATGCTGTTTCAATGCTATAGTGATGAATTAGGTTATCTTATATATAGTTATCGTTCTGAATGCCGCATGTGTGATCATCCGGTGTCGATGTACAAAACAGCTATCCCCAGTTGTATTTTCATTTTATAAAGGTGTGTAAAGTGATTGTGACAAATGTCATTCTGCTTTTATAGACATGGCAATATATAAAAGCTAGTCAGAACAGCCATATAATGCCCGTTTTCCTAGGGCCTTTCCATTAAAGTAACGTGAATTGTAATTTTTTGTGTAATTTCTGATGTAGTTCATTAATCATTGCCTGCATCTTTCGTCATGTCCGTGAGTTGTCATTATATTAGAGTATGAACGAAAGGGTCCAGTTTCTTCATGTTTTAGGCACAAATGCTTC